TTTATGTTTTTTTTTTTGAGCAAAAGGTTTTTATGCTTTTCGAATGTAACTAATCACCTCTTTCACCAAAAAAAAAAAAAAGCCACTCATAAGCTTCTCACTCGTGCAATTAATATGGGAAAGCTTTATTCATTTATTTTTAAATTTTTGATAACATAATATATTGTATTTTCAACCCTTATTTGGTTCTAGTAGAAATGATAAAAATGATAAAAAAAATTATAATTCAAATCCTCAAGTGCTTAACATTCATTAAATATATATATATATATATATAATATGTATATTTCTTTTCAGAAACGTGGACTAAAATATTCGACATATATTTAAATTTAGATCCTTAATTTATAAGACGGTGATGGAACCTCACATTTCTTTTGAATGTAAGGTAACAGAGAACTGTGCAAGAAAAAAAAATCAAATCATATCAAAATATATAAGGTCATCAAAATTTTTAATATCAAAATTGTTACCAAAAGCTATACATGCAAGTCAATCCGTATATCCATTAACTTTTCTAAACATTGTTAAATACAGTAATTTGAAAACCGGACCAATTCAGACGGTTTGACTATCAACCGCTCTGAATTTTGGTTTAGTCAATATGTAAAAATTATTTTAGAGATTGAGTTAGGTTGGGCCATTTTAGACCGGAAACTGAAATTAAGCAGAAAATTAGATCTGATTTTTAAGAACCAAACTGTTCCAAAAAAATTATTTTTTTATCAATTTTTTTAGGAAATGATCACTTTTTTTAATGTTTGATATTATGTTGTATCAAATAATTTGTTAAGCATAATAAACTTGAAATATTTAATTTTTTTAAGTTAAGTAGCAATTTCATATTTATTTTTTATATTTAAATTATTATATATATATATAATTTTTAATTTAATTATTATATATTAATTTAATTATTGATCCAACCAACTTGAATCATACGAATTGTGAATTCGTTGATCTTTTGGTTCAATATTTACTCTGGTTTTACAAATATTGATTAAATATGATCATCCAGACTCACGAGTCATGTGGCAGGCTGCCTGATCTTTATAGTCCCAGACCACAGCAACCCAGCTGTCATTATATTTTATAATTAATAATTAGTTCTCTCTCTCTCTCTCACATGTTATAGTCATTCCCCATTCTGGGTGTAGAGATATTTATTATATATAATAATAATAATAATAATAATAATAATAATAATAAATCAATCAATTAATTTTTAAAAAATCCGATGTGAAATGCTGGTGTGTCACATTTATATATATACACTTATAATTCTATATTCTTTGAAAGAAATAAGCTATATGATGGCATTCTTTCTAGAATAGGTATATATATAACTATCTTCCAATTTTGTTCCAGTTCAAATAAATTTTTAGTTTCATGTTTTTCGAATATAACTTATCAGCTTCTCACTCATGCAATTAATACGAGCAAACTTACAAATTTTTGTTGATTTTTTTATAGTGTTAATGTGCTTCAAACCAGTGAAATAATAAAAAAGTTATAATTCAAATCCTCCTCCACTGCCAAACATTCATTAAATATTATTTATATTTCTTTTCTTTGAAAGAGGCGTGGAATTACATATTCCACAATTTTTTCAAAGAATGTGAGAAGGAGACAAATCATTTCATTAATTTATGAGACGGAGATAGAAACCCCACATTTCATTATCATAAATAAAACGTATAGGCGAACGATGGAAGAAGGTTGGAGGTTGGACCCGTTTTTATGTTTGGAAAAATGCAATAATCGATTCTCATAATTTCATTAGGTTTTGCTTTTAATTTTTATAATTTTTAATACTTATATATAGTTTCAGCAAAATTAGACGAGATTTGTTACTCAGGTCCTTATAATTTGTGTTAGTATTTTTATATAAGCAAAAGCTAACAAAGCTACAAAGACTAAAAAAAAAAAATCTAATAAAATTATAGAGGTAAATGATTATGGTCTTTCTTTATATTTTTATATAAACAATTCAGAAGAATATTCCTGTTTCTTATTTAAGCTTGAAGATAAAATGAAACGTGGATCTCAAAAGCCTTATTTTTTGAGAGAATGATAACTAGATCTCAAAACTTCAAATTAATAACGTTCAAGTTCTCAATAATCTTTTTTTAAAAAATAAATTTTATATATCAATTTTAAACAAATGTGAACTTAAAAATCTAAATTATAGATAAGATATTTAAATTTCAAGTGTAACTATTAGAGTGTATTTAAGATTTTTATTTATAATTACTTGAATAGATATTTACAACAATTTTTTTTAAAATTTTATCAAGAACCTAATTAATTATAATTTTCTCAATTTTTCTCACTCTCTTTTAATTTTAAATACATGAATGATTAAACAGGATAGATCTAAGTTTAATTAACTGGTTTATTAAATAGGAAAGATCTAAGTTTAATTAACTGGTTTTCCGACATAAATAAATGAATACATTTACGTAGGTAATTCAATTTCAACCAGGAGAATCATGTTTCTTCATGCTCACTCAACATTAGGATGGAGATCCGTCTTGGAGTTTGACACCAAACCTTCAGTTATACCGAAAGTCAAATCTTACGTACAACAACTTAATTATAATATATTTCACTCGTCCCAGTCTTACTTACAAGGTACTTCCTTCATTTAAAATTATAAAATATTTTTAAATAAAATTTTATATATCAACAACATTTATTAAATATACTTTATAACCTTAATTTTTTAAGATAACATTATAAAATTGTAAAAATATCCTTCATTTAATACTTCATTGATAAAAGAATATTAAAGAAAGAGAATATATGAAAAGGTTAATATTAAAAAAATATTATTAATAAAATTTTATTTTTATTAAAGTTATTTATATTTTAAGATATTAATTTGTTTTAAAATATTTTATAAAATGTGATGGAGGGATCATTTTACAAACACAAAAGGTCATCTTTATTATATGGTGTTGAACCAAAAAGTTGAAATAGTCTTCCTATCTTGCTTTTACTTGAGAAAGCATTGTGCAGATGGCCAGGTGATTTATCACTTTCAACAAGGATATGATTCGAAAGTTACAATTTTTTTTAAATGCTCTCCCAGTTTATAAAGCATGCCTACAAAAAAATAAACTTTTGACAGTGACAAAAGTTCAAAAGACACGCTAAAAGTGACAAAAGTCCAAAAAGACACGCTAAAAGTTTTATTAAAAGTCGTTATAATAATTGTTGATAATAGTTTTTTATGGTGATAAATATTAAAAATAATAATCTATTAAAATTATAATTTATCATATTAAAATACTAGCTTAATAACATAATTATTAAAAAAAATATGAACTATATATGTCTTAAAAAAAATTATGAATGATACAAAATTAGAAATAATTTAACAATCAAACTTAGCACATCTTGATTATTATTTTTTTATTTCATGATTTTATATATCATTTATTTTTTTAAAAATATAATTTTAAATTCCTGTATTTTGTTTGCGTTTTACTATAGGTCCCTACACTTATTTTTTTAGCATTTTGAATTCCTAAATGAATAAAATGTAGGGACATTGGAGGGATTCATAACACAAAAAAAATAAACTTGTAGGGACTTAAAACATAAAAAAAGTGCATGGATCATATCTATAAAAAAAATACAAGTAAAGTGTGGAGAACTAAAATTATGTTTTTCCTTTATTTATAATTTTGCATATAAAATCAGATATTTAATTTCATAAATATCTTTTGAATGATTTTTTAATTTTAAATTTTTAAAATAATTCATACTAATTTTTTAATAATTTAAAATATAATTTTATAAATTATTTCATATAACTTAAAATTATATTTAATTTTTTAAAAATATTTTTAGTGGAGACAAATGTTATCACTAAAAGTAATTATATAAATTATTTTTTTAAAAAATAATTTTGAAGTGGATTATATAAATTATTTTTTATAAAAATACTTTAAGTGGCAACAAAAGTTCGAAACAAAAGTGAATTATATAAATTATTTTTAATTTTTAAATTAATTTTTATAAAAATACTTTTGACAATGACATTTAATTGTCTCTAATAAAAGTATATTTTTAAAGGTGACAAATTATCACAGTCAAAAGTAAACTTTTAAAATAGATTTTAATTTGTCATCACTAAAATTTTACTTTTAACGATGACTTTGCTACCAATTTTTTTTTTTTGTAGTGTCAGTTTTGGCAAAATTAAAAATGCTAAACCAAGGGGAATTAGATCAAGTAGAAGGTAATAGTATCTTATAGCGTGCTTAACTAAGGTTTAAATTTCTATTGAAAGAGGTGTTCACATTTAATATCCAACAATCTCTCGAACATGATTACCTCCAATAGTAGGGGATAGTTATGGGAAATCTAAAAAAAAAAAATACATATACTAATAAGCTTCATTAAATTTTCAAAAAAAAAAAACCCTCTATTTAATATTACTATATTTGTAAAACATTAAATAGAGGGACAAAATATAATAAAGAGGGAGAGTAATATTCCCTCCATCCCAAATTATAAAATACTTTTAAAGAAATTTGACTTCCTAATATAAAAGATACTTTAAGAATATTTAAGTTTTATAAAATACACATATTCAAATATTATACACTCTATTTAATTTCTATCACTCTCTCTTTTCAATATATTAAGTAAAATATATTTTTAAAATTTTATATTTTTATTTTTAAAAAATAAAATTGTTGAGTATATTTAATAAATTTTATTAATGTATGAGACTTTATTCAAAAGTATCTTATAATTTAAAATAAAAATAATATAATATTAAACCTAATATCATTAATAAAATTTTATTTTTAATCAAAATATTTTATATTTTAAAATATCCAGCCACCTTTTAAAGTGGGAGTAAATGGGGATGGGAAATAATATAATAATTTTTTTTTAAAGCACCAGTAACTATTCCTCATCCGCACGTCTTTGTTATTTATTGACTTATCCAAACATCCTATATAACCAGAGCAATAAATCTCCGCCACACACAAACCTCTCACTTTTCTGAGAAATAGCTAGACCTCACAGAGGCAAAAATGGAGGGTGAAACTGAAGCAAGAAGATCAGCTCACTGTGTGGTGTTGGCATATCCAGCTCAAGGTCACATAAACCCTATGCTCGAGTTCTCCAAGCGTCTTCAAGATGGAGGAATCAGTGCAACCCTCGTCTCTACTCGCTTCTTCTGCAACAAGTTACACAAGCTTCCCGGTTCCAATATAGCTGTCGAGACTATCTCCGATGGGTTCGACGACGGTGGGATTAATGAAGCAGTGAGGCGGAAGGTCAACTATTACGATCGGCTTCGGGAAGTAGGGACACAGACTCTGATTGAGCTCATTGAGAAGCTTAATGAAACAGGGAAGCCTGTTGACTGTATCGTTTATGATTCATTCTTGACTTGGGCTCTTGAAGTTTCGAGGAAATTAGGATTACTTGGGGTGAGTTTTCTGACTCAGAACATTTGTGTGGATAGTATATATTACCATGTAAACATGGGAAAGCTAAAACTTCCACTGGTAAAAGATGAAAATATTTCTCTTCCTGGGTTGACATGTTTTGAGCCTTGGGATATGCCAAGTTTCTTGTATGAATATGAACCAGGAAGTGCTGTGCTTGATTTGGTGGTGGGTCAGTTTTCAAACATTGAAGAAGCTGATTGGATTCTCTGCAATTCATTCTACGAGCTGGAAATTGAGGTACATGCAAGCAACTACTGGTCCTTAATTAATAAATCTGCTTTTTTATTATGGAGTTTTATTTATCCGGATAAAAAAAGAAAATTGTCTCTTAAATTATAAGTTAGCATCTAAGATTCTAATATTATTTTTTATATAATGTTATCCTTCAACTTTTAAAACGTGTGAAACTAACCCTTATCATCAATAAAAGCTGATTTTAACAGTTAGTTGACTAAACAATAATAAAAAAGCATAAAAAATTACAAAAAATGACCAATAAAAATTTGTGGTTCTTTTATGTAATTTTTGAATCTTTTAGTGTAATTTTTTTGGTCAATTCCTATAATTTTTGTGATCCTTTTATATTATTTTCTTATCAACTAATGATTTAAATTGACTTTTGTTAATGATAAGAGTTAAATTGTAGCATTTTCAAAAATTTAAGGGAAACATTGTATCAAAAATGAATTTAGGGTTTTAGACATTTCTTGACTTATAGTTTATAGGCCAATATTTTATTCAATCTTATTTATTTTTCCTATTAATGTTTACTCAATCTCTGCGTTGGTTTTGTTAGGGGAGTACAGTCTATGCTTATTCATCGTCAACCTGATATATTTTTAATCTAATTTTATTTTTATATTTTAAATAATTTTTTTGTTAATAGATACATATATAATTTAAATAAAAAAATTTACAAGTGTCATTTTCTTTAAGAAATAAATTTATCGTATAAAAACTACAGTTTGAACTGTGTAAATATGGACGGTCTGATCTAAATTGGACTATTCAAATGTTTTTACAGTGATGGGCATGCGGTATTTAACAAGCATTGAATGTAAACCTATTAGTTACACAATCTCAAAAATCACGTGGCTCTCTCCTAATAATCAGATGCGGTATTTTGAATTTTCTCAAAATAATTTTCTAATTATAGCCTATTTAAAATTTTTTGATGAAAAATAATTATTAAAAATGAAGAGCAAGCTATCAATAAATGTTGATCAAATTGGTAAGGATTTGGTTCATAACCCATAAGATTATGAGATCAAATCATAAGTATATCTGTAAGTGCTCTTTGAGTTTAAAGATATGTCTTGACCTTGGTGAGACTTCGGGACCTAACTCACCTAATCTTTGTGTATTAAGAAGAGCACGTTGTAAAATGATTTTCCTAAAAAAAAAATTAACTGAAAGGCAGTACAATTCATTACTTGATGTCTATGTTTATTCTATATTGTTTAAAAATATTTGGTATAACCAATAGAAATTTAAGAAATTCTCTTCCATTATATAACATTGAGATAGGTAATATATACCTATTACACTTACTTATCATCATTCAACAGAACCTAATTCTTTCTATTATTTTCGAATTAAAATAAAAAAAAGACATCTATTATTTACAAAATTATTTATTCTATTCCATTCTCTTTTATATTTCATTCTGTTTTGTAGATTAAAGCCTATAATTCTAATAAATTCAATTAATAAGCTATCTCTCGATTTTTATATATGAGTAGGTCATAAACATATATATATATATATATATTATTTAAGAACATTTGAATTATACAAGCTTCTTGCTATAGATTTTATTTTTCTTGAGAGGAAATTATTATTAATTTAATTTAAAAAATGGTTTTAGGTGGCAGATTGTATGAGAAAGATTTGGCCAAAGTTGAGGACAGTTGGACCAACCATACCCTACAAGTTCTTGACCAATAATACTAATAACAAAAAAGTTGAAGATGAAGAAGATTACGGATTTGCCATATTCAAGAGTGAAGAATGCACAAAATGGTTAGATAATCAGCCAAAACAAACAGTTGTTTTTGTGTCACTAGGGACTATGGTATCAATCAACGAAGAACAAATGGAAGAACTGGCTTGGGGTCTAACAGATAGTGAAGTCGCCTTTTTGTGGGTAGTGAGAGAATCTGAAGAATCTAAAATTCCCTCAAACTTTCCGAGAAGAACACAGAAAAGTTTGGTGGTCCCATGGTGCCACCAACTCAAAGTCCTATCACATGAGGCTATAGGATGCTTTGTAACACATTGTGGTTGGAATTCAACGTTGGAGGCTTTGAGTTTAGGAGTCCCAATGGTGCTTATGCCTCTTTGGAGTGATCAAAGGACCAATGCAAAGATTATCAAGGATGTTTGGAAGGTAGGCGTGAGAGTTCAATTTGATGAGAAAGGGATTGTGAGAAGACAAGCATTGAAGAAAAGTATAAGGGAAATCATGAAAGAAGAAGGAAGAAGTGAAGTGAAAAATAATGCCATCAAATGGAAGAATTTGGCTACGAAAGCTGTTAACAATGGTGGAAGTTCTTGGAACAACATTGAGGAATTTAAGGATAGCTTGATCCCTTTTAAAAATTAACTGATTAACCCTAGGCTTCTAGGGTACATATGGATCTGATGAGATATCAGATTAATTAGATTTATGATTATTTTTATTTTGTTAGAATAATCTGTTATATATATATATATATATTTATATTTTAATTTGGCTTGAATAAATGCAATATTTTATATTACTAGGTTATTTTTTTAGATTATTTTAGGATATTTGCATTTATTGGTATAATTCAGAATATTTACATTTTAATTTTAAATTTTTTAGAATATTATCACATATATTTAATTTCTAGCTAGGTTAGATTAAGGCATAATAAATAGTGCCTCAACACATTTATTTTATACATGGCTTTTATTGAACAAGAATTACTATCAATGCAATTTATCTCTCCTATGAGTTTCTCTTTTCTATCTAATTTTCTCCGTTCTCTTTTCCTCTCTTCCCTTCTCCTTTTCCCCATCTTCATGCTGCATCAAGATCATATACAAATCTTGACTAGGAAGTTGTACTGTCCATTTGGAATGGGAGGAAAATAAAGATGGTAGAAAACTAAGGGAGGAAAGTACAAGAAAAAAACATAAATTTTTTCCTCCAAAACTAAATTTTTCCATTTTTGGATGGAGAGGAAAAGTGGGAAGAAATTAGGAGGGGAAATTTTCAAAATAATATTTTTTTACTATTTAGGAGTTTTCCTTCTTAGTTTTAATTCCTTCTTATTTTTCTTCTTATCCAAAAAAAAGGGTTAATTTCCCCCTCTCTATTAAGAAATTGGGAAGAAAACATTTAGAATTTAAATGTTTTATTGACAATTAGAACTCTTGAATTTGCAATTATTTGAATCCATATTTGCAACTTGTTTTAAAATTTTTTTTATCAAGAACATAATTGTCATTAATTCATTCCTTTGGTACTTAATTGTCATTTTATCCTACCTTCTTTTTTCGTCTCACACTCAACATGTTCTTTTTTTCTCTTTCTAAACTCTACAAAAATTTCATAATCGAGAATTCTAAAAGATCACAATTTAGCAGTTGACTGAAGTAAAATGAATTTGATTATCCTTAAGATTTCAGGTTTTAAATTTGTAGTATCAATTGATGCTTTAATACGTAATATTTGGTCGTACCATATACTAGATTGTTGTAATTTACTTATTCTTCTTCTTTGGTACTACATAGTTCCATTGCGTTATTGCACATTGAGTGAAAGGTAATCAAAATAAAGAGAATGAACTATGATGAATGTGGGAAGATAAACAGGAATTTGTTTCTACTTGTTTGAATGATATATATGTAATTGGAATGAATGGAATGCCAAGGTTGTGAGTTTCTTTATTAAAAATTAAGAGCTTCTTTGATTACAGGTAAGGAGATTGATTGATTAAAAGAATATAGGTATGGTGGATTTGACTTTGAATTTTACATATTTCAAATCTCACTTTTAAATTATTTATTTGGTAGTTTAAAAATTTCAAATGAATAAAAGAGATGAGTTGAGATCTGAAATGAAAATGAAAAATTGAAAGTAATTAGTTCACCTATATTTTTTAAATTTTAATCGATGAGATATAAAAAATATAAAAAAGTTCATAAAGGCATTAATAGTAAAAACATGAAAAGAATAAAAAATTTGAAGTGATTAAAATTTTAAATGATTAGGATATAAATGAAATTTGAAATTACAAAGAAAACAAAATAAAAAATTGATTTGTACTTGAATCAAATCTAAATATATTAATTTTTGTATATTTAAATAAGGAATTTGATCTAAATCTGAATCTGAATCCACATTAATTCAAATACACCCATAATGTAATGTAACAATTATCACCTCAATATTGTGCTTACCCGCTTGAAGCTGAGAATATTACCTCTCTTGAATATGAATTGTATAATTTTTATTTATTACTTATATGTAATGTATCTTTTTATTGAAGACAATTTTATTTAAAGTATGGTTGAATGAATTGCTCAACATTTAATGGTTTGATTTAAATGATTTAAATTTATTTCTTTTATTAAATTAAATTAAAAGATTGCTGTCATTTTATGATTTACTGTAGTATTTTTAAAATAAAAATTTTAAAGTAATCATAGTGCCTACAGAACAAAGATGATTTATTTTTCTTAATATGCTTTCTTGGTTAATTTGCAAAAATGATGGGATTAGAAAAACATTAGTCATTAATAAATTTGGTGATGGAACAGCAAACTAACCCCTGCATCAACAAGGCATTAACAAAAAAATTTTACGTGTATTGATTTGACTATAATAAGTTGACAAATCCAACTGTATTTTGACTCGTTACAAATTCAATTAAATATTAATATATTTTCTCCAATTTTTATTATAATATATATCTAACTATTTCACTGGAATTAGAGAGAGGTTAAGTCATTAATTTTATTTAAAAATAAAATAAAATTTTAATTTTATCCTATTTAAATAAAAAATTTTAATCTTTACATTATATTCTTTCTCATAGATAGTTAGTAAATTTAAATAGAGTAATATTAAAAAAAAAGAATTAGTATCTCGTTGATTAAAATTTTTTTCTAAAATATACCTTATAATAGAGACCGGAGAGTACATGTGTATATAGATAATATTTTTAAAATTAATTTAATTAAAGTTAGTTCATCAAGAAAAATAAATTGATCTTTGGTCAAAAAAATATTGATCAAGATCACTAATATTTTTTTTACTTGACTATCAATAGGGTTAGATTTAAGCATTATCTAGCTCAATTAGAAGTGACTCTTTCAACACTAGAGTTTTTTTTTTACTGTGAATAAAAATGAAATCAAAATTCATAAAACGTTAATAATCAGTGGAAGTTACTGTTATACTTTAAATTTCACACACATAGATTACTTGTCTCAATTTAATCATCACTAGTTCACTGTAATCAGCTAAAAAAATTTAGTGGTCAAACAAATAAAAAAATTTAAATTAGTGTTTTTTTTTTTTCATCAGTAGGGTTTAAAACCATTGACATAGGAGATTCAAACTACCCCCACCCACTCCTAAATTAGTGTTTTTAGAAGTCCAATGTCTGATTCAATTATAAAAACATTAACTTTTACTGTTCATTCATTTTAATTTGGTCTGTCGCTGTCACTGGCCTTCTTTTATTTTTAATGTTACGCTCAAAAGATCCCTCACGTCTTTCGTTTTGTATGTCCTTGTCAGTGGCCTATCTCTACAGTGTTTGAAAAGCTTTCTGTATATTTGTCCACACAATCCGACCAGTTTTTATTAGAATTCACTTTATAAAATAGATTGATGTGGGGCATTAGTGACATTTTTTTTAATATTACCCAAATTTATTAATTGCGAGAGAGAATATTATAATATAAGTTTAAAAAATTTTTTCATTTAAAATATGGATAAAATTGAAAGTTTATTTTTTTTCAAATGTAATTAATGATTTAATCACCTCTTCTTGATTTCAATAAGATGATTAAAGATATATTATAATAAGAATAAGAGGAAATACTTGTCATTCATAGCCACTCACCAACATGGTGGTAAACTAAATAACTACTACCTATAGTCCTATATTTACATTATACGAATTTTGTAACTGTAAATATAAGTCAATTGGCAAGAGTTTATGTAAGTGCTAATTGATTTGTTCCAAATATGTCCTTCTTCTCAATTTCCAATGAGGAGATAAAGAATGTTTATTTTTAAATTTATAGTATTCATGTGGGATAAAGTTAAAAATCATAGAAATTTTTAGACAATTTCAATTATGTAACTATTTAACTTTTCTTGATTTCTGAGTTGTTTAATCACCACACTCATAAGATAGCTTTTGGTGCCATCCAAAGGCCAAATTACTCTGGAATTCTTTATTGTCACTTTTCCCATTGTGATTAGTTAAATAGATAGAAGAGAAGACCAACAAGCTAAACGTGTAGTTCAACTGATAAGGAAGATGCTGTACTAGCTTAATCAGAGGTCTTGAATTTAAGTTTTGGAAATTTAGTAGTAGTGTTTGGTGGCAAAGCTTTCATCCGAAAAAATTCTAACCTAATGCGATCTAGATTAGTTGAGACATATGATAGTTTACTAAAAAAATGAAAGAGACAGAGGAGAAGAAATTCTAAAGAGAGAAGCAATGATATACAGGGCAGGGGGAGAGAGAGAGTTCCACCTTGGCGGTTTTGCTAAACTATTTTAAATTACAAAATTAAAACAAAAATATACTCAAACAAGCAATCATATATATATAATATATATATATAACTCGGAAGCTCTTTGTCAATCTCCACCTACCCCCACACATCGAATAAACGCCAACATTACATACCTAACTTTTAGTCCTATAGATATAAATCTATCAATCCTCCACACATACACACACATCCTGAGAACTGGAGAATTTATCGTGAAGACTTAGAAATGGAGATTCAAACAAAAGCAAGAAGAGGTCACTGTGTGGTGTTGGCATATCCAGCTCAAGGCCACATAAACCCTCTGCTTGAGTTCTCTAAACGTCTGCAACATGAAGGAATTACTGTAACCCTAGTCTGCACTCGCTCCTTCTGCAACAAGTTACACAAGCTTCCCGGTTCCAACATCTCCTTTGAGACCATCTCCGACGGGTTCGACGATGGCGGGATCGACGAAGCAGAGAGACAGAAGGTCAACTACTACGATCGGTTTCGGGAAGTAGGGACAGAGACTCTGATTGAGCTCATTGAGAAGCTTAATGAAACAGGCAAGCCTGTTGACTGTATCGTTTATGATTCATTCTTGACTTGGGCTCTTGATGTTTCCAGGAAATTAGGGTTACTTGGGGTGAGTTTTCTGACTCAGAATATTGGTGTGGATAGTATATATTACCATGTGAACAAGGGAAAGCTGAAATTTCCACTGGCAAAAGATAAAAATATTTCTCTTCCTGGATTGCCATGTTTTGAGCCTTGGGATATGCCTACTTTCTTGTATGAATGTGAACCGGGAACTCCGGTGATAGATTTGGTGGTGGGTCAGTTCTCCAACATTGAAGAAGCGGATTGGATTCTCTGCAATTCTTTCTACGAGCTGGAAATTGAGGTATACTCAAGAAATTTAATTTTTTAACTTTGACTTAAAATACAACTCAGTCCTTTTAATTTTGCCAATATATAAATTGAATTTTAAAGATTGTGTTTCAACTGTGCATAGTTCAAGTACTAAGTTACATTTAGTTAAAGTTTAAAGACTAAATTTCAACCAAGTCAAGAGTACACGGATTGAGTTATATTGAATTAAAATTTAGATTAATTAAATCAAAATTATAAAAATCAA